CATCCATCAATCAGAGAACTGTGCATGAGCTGATCACATGCCTTGTGACCTGCGGCCCCGCCCCCCATAGCTTGGCCTTTATGCTTTACTGAAACTATTTGGGGAGTTTGGGTTTTTCTTGGGCATGAACCACCCTGGCCTCCTTACTCGGCCCTGCAGTAAAACTTTCTCTGCTCCAAACTCTGACATTTCAGTTTGTTTGGCCTCAGGGTGTGGCAGGTACATGAACTTGCCTTTGTTAACAATTTTGGCCAGCCTAGGAGCCTGTGCCCATGGAGGGCTGACCCCAGCCCTTGGCAGCCCCTTCCCTGGGTCCTAGCAGCTGCCAGAGCTCACTTTGCTCCAGGGAACCAGGAGGGACTCTCTCCGACAGGCGCCGGCTGACCCACAGCACCAGGCTGTTTGGAGCCAAGAAATGTCCAGAGCTACAGTCGTCCACATTGGTGTCTCCTGGGGGTGAGTGGCTCCGGCTCACGCAGGCTGGGAATTCTCTCCATTCCATCTGGGCTCATTCCCACTGGGAAGGGAGCCGCTGTGGGCTCACTGCGAGCCACTCGGGGTGTGTCTCTTTCTAGAGCTGGGCCCATCTGTTTGGAAGCCTCTGTCTGGGAGTGGAAGTGGAATTTTTGGACTACACTTCCTCTAACTGTCACGCGACCATAGCTTATTTGTTGTGTGTTTTTGTGTGTATGGTTTTGGGGTGAGCCACTCAGGCTTGTGCAGGATGGGAAAATTCAACCCGCTCCATCAGAGCTCCTCCCCTTGAAGGGAGTGAGCCATTCTGGGCTCACTGGGAGCTACTCTAAGTCCATTCTCTTTAGAGAGCTGGGCCGGTCTGTCTGGAGGCCTCCGTCTGGGACCGGAAGTAGACTTTTGGGGCCACACCTCTTGTTTGTGGGACCATGTGTATTGTTTATACGTGTGTGCATCGGTACTTGCATTGGTCGGTTGAGACGTCTGAGTATCGGGGCACATGTCTGATGACACCAGGGCCCCCTTCCCTATTGCCGTGGCCTCACCTGTGGGGAGCGTGGTTGGGGTTTTCCCTTTCTAGCCTTGGTCTTTCATTCAGTTTTATCTCTGGGGCACTAGCTGGGATCCCCCCTTTTGGATTGATGGGGCACTGGTTAGGAATCTCCCTTTTGTGGCTAGGGAGCTGTGACCCTGAGACATAGTTTTAAATTGTTGTTTGCTTGATATTTGATAACATCGGCCGTGAATAATTAAGCATGGATGATCAGAGCTCTGCTCCGTCTTATACATAGAGTATATTTTGCAAAACTGGGAGGTCTTCAGCTATGTTCCCATAAATGAAAGAAAATTATATTTTTACTGTAACTCTGTGACCTCAGTGCTCCCTGAGATCTGGAGGACAATGGCCCTACTGTCTCTGCTGTTATAGTAAAGTGGCTCTTTTGCAATCTGGCTTTTATCTTGGGTGTGTGTGTGTACGTGTCTTGGTACCTGAGTCCAAATCCTATTCTCTCTTCCTAGTTTTGTTGAAAGTGACGCACCTGAATGTCAGTAAATGATACATATATATTATTGTCTATTACTGTTATTTCTTTAAATTGAAGTGGATGTTTGGGAACTGGAAAAAAAAATCCCTGAAAATAACCAAGATGATGGGGTTTTGTATAAACCAGTATAGGGGGAATTCACATTTCCTTTCCCGTGCCTCTGAGATGTAAATGAACTACCTGGCTCTCAAGGAAAAAGATTTTTTTAAACTCAGGCAGAAAAACTGTGAGGTCTCTGGTTCTGTATTTAGGTAAAAATTAATGCAAAAGAGCTCTATTTAATTGACTTAAAAGTAAGCACTTGCAAATTAAATACTTCTAAGTATAGAAGAAGCTAGACAACAAATTTTAGGTTCATGTGATCTAGGAAATATTCAGTATTAAATTAATATCTGATATTAAAGCTAGCTTAAGCTTGTTGGTATAATCAACACAGACACGTCTTTTGTTGTACCTGGGTTTATTGAAAGTCAACAGGGTCATGTTGCTTCTGTTGCAGTTAGTCAGAAAGAAAAAAAATTCAATTAATTTGATATGACAAAATTCTTATAAGTAAATTAAATGCAAGTGACATAAGAGCTTTTGGGTGAACTCTTTAGAAATAATTCTGTTTCAGGAATTCTACCTAACATTGACCTCTCCAGATACTTGGTAACTTGAAATTGTAGAGTTGTTCTAACCTAAGATAAATTACGGAAATTTGTTGAATAGCTGGGTCATTCCCAAGCAGGGTAAGATGCTGGAACATTATTTACTGAACATCGGCTTCTCTTTGCAGAGAAACTAAAGTTGTTTAGGACTATTAAATATGTTTGGTGCCACACTGAGATGTTGTCTATAAAAAGCACGTATTTTTAGAAATCATTTTTGGCATTTGTGTTTGCTAATCTACAGAATGCTAATGTAAAAGACAGTTCGTATTTGCTTACTTATTTTGTTTTCACTAGAAATGAACATTTTTATGAGTCGAGGATCCTAATTTGTATGTCACCAAAGCTACTAAAAATAATAAAGGAACCATTTCAGTATACAGTAGGAAAGTAGGTTATATGCTTTAAGTTTAAGAAAAAATGTTTTTGTCCTAAAGCTGGTTGTTTCTAGATGAAAAAAATAAGGGACAAACTAACACGGATACAGAAAGTTGCTGAAAGTTTGTAGAAAGGGAGTTTTGTGCATGGTTGGTCTGAGATCAGATTACACTTAAGTAGGTAAATGGATTTTGTTATTAAAAGAAGATTGGGGCAAGACTAGATTTTGCTTCCCCTGTGTTAAGAGAACAAGTTTACTTGCTTGTGATAATAGTGCTTCTGATTACAGATTGTGTGAAACTTTTTGATGCTGTTGACAAACTTCGTATCAAATTTTCATAATTTTTTTTTAACTTTAGCTAACTTTGGGATGCTTCAGAGGACCCCTGAGACATCTTAGAGAAAAATGTTAAACTAACTCCGATTGGTTGGTATGTTACATTATATGGCTTTGTCAAATGAGTGATAAGTTTCCTCAGACTATACACTGTGGATAAATGTTGTTATAGACATTTGGGAAATTATTTAAGTTTTCTGAAATTTAGATATGTCCTGGTATAATGCTGTCCATCATAATTCTAGTTGTTCTAGTCATAATTCTAGTTCTAGTCTAGTTATCTTAAAATGTCGTATGCCACAACAACTTGATTAAGCTTCTTTGTAAAAACTTTATAACCAGATCTTTAACTTTGCCTTTCTAAGTCTTTTGTCATTCATAGACAGTTAAGCTAGTGCTTTGCAAACTGCTTCATCTTCAATAAGATTCATAAAAAGGACTTTTTGACAAGTATAGGTTTCTTTTAAATCATACGAAGTGGGTAAGGTATTTAAAAGGTCTAATGAAAACTCTGATTTCTTAAAATTGTTAGTAAAAAGGATCAGTTACATAAGGATTGAGTAAACTGGTGAATATGTTCGTAATTTTTTGGTTTTCATCTGAAATATTACTGGCTTTTAATCTACATTTTCTAATTGAATTGTTTATCAGATGTTTGTCTCCCTATCCATACTAAAAGTTACTGTTTAACTTCTAACCACACTATTGCCCCCAGTGTTTAGGATAGAAAGAGAATTCTCTGATGTTGTTGTCACAGAGTATATCTACTCAGGATGTATGACAATGCTTGCTCTAAGTCTGTTGCGAAAAGCACATGTACAATGCTTGTGTGACAATTAGCCTTGAGTCTTGTGTGCGACCTGTAGCCTAGTCCTCACTTTTCTGTGGCTCTTTCTCTTTCTTGCAGCCTGGGGGCAAAATGAAAGCAAACCAACACAAAATAAACCCCGTCACCTCCGGTTTAAGGTTATGGATTTCAACCTTCCCTAAAGAACAGATCGTCAGGACTGAGTTTAGCCAGGTTTGGATGGCTCTTGCCTTCCAGCACACAGCTTTGAGAGTCTAACCTTTGTTGTTTAAGATTACTGCTTTCTTCTCAGATTTCTGGAAGTAACTAAATATCTTTATGAAGGAAGCTGTTTATAGGTGTCTGCGTTTGAGAGGAGGTTAAGGAGACCCAGAGTGGCTTTGCGTCATAATAAATTAGACTTCTGTGACATCACTTCTTGTGCAAAGAGTACTGGAGTCATTTGTTACACATTAGTGGAGTTTAGGCTTCCCACAGTCCTCCTCTTAGTCCCACCCACCCTCCAACCAGCCAAGGAGACTCCTCTTCCTGGTGTTGATCCCCAAGGCAGGGGTGCCCAATATGAGGCTCCAACTGCTCACTCCCCAGGGAGGATCTCCACCATGTAATCTCCCTTTTCTTCTGAGTCCCCTCTCAGAGGCACAGGTCCTGACCCAATTATTTCTCTTCCTTTCCTACCTGATTCCATGTGGATCTTACTTATAGCTGTGGTTGTACTGGAGTCTTCCTGCTAGTCTGCAGTTAGTCTTTGGTGAGAATTATTCCACATGTAGATGTATTTTTGATGTGTTTGTGGGGGGAAGTGAGTTCTGCATCCTTCTACTCTGCTATTTTGATCTCCCCACAACCCCCACTTTGGTGTAGATTCTGGCCATCCTCACTCAGTCAAGGTAATCCCTTCTTCCTTGGTTTAGTTCAGGAGTTGGTGCATAATCTGAGTAGGTCTGATCAAAAGGAAGCCTGTAACTTTTGTTAGATGACTTGGGCAGGAGACACTGTGTTTCTTCTCCTGGGTACAAGTAAGGAAACATGTAGCTTCAGGCTGCTTATAATCAGCTTGTTTCCGTGAGGGGATTCAGCCATGGGACCAAGCCAATACCTGGAGAGGGAGGCTCACAGAATTCTTGGTTGAATAGGGCCTGAAGGCCAAGTTCCCTTTGTATGGTTGTTATGTGATAGAGTGATCGTTTAAGTCCCTTGGAGTTGGGTTTTCCTTCCTTGCAACTAAAAACTATCCTGACAGTCTAAATCACACCTGACCCCAGAGAGTGACTCCTCTCAACCCCCAAAGGGGGCTCCCTTTCCATGGCAGGGCTGGGTGGGCTTCCCTCAGGGTCCCAAATCCAAATGTAGTCCTTTCCTGCTCTCCTTTCTTCTCTCAATGTGCAGTTTTCATTTCTGGTGGCCTTGTCTTCCTCATCTTTTTTTTTTAAACCAGAATTAATTTGAGTTTTAAAATTTTATTTCAGCTTAGTATTAATTTTATTCAGCAATACATAGTCACATGTTAGATAGTTAAGTAGTTATTGAAAAGAAAAGAGAAATCCTCCCCCATCCTCCCACACCCAATGGCCATCCCTGCCAGTCCTTTTCACTATGTCTTCTGAGCTTTAGCTTCTATTGCTAAATAACATTTTTATACAGATACTTACCATTCTTTCTTTTTCAAAAAAGCAAAGTGAGGATTTATTAAGCTATAGATAGTAGGCTCTCAAGGGGAGAGCCCATCATTCTTTAACTTTAGTTATTATGTATTTTCCGTGATAAAATATATACCCCTCCCCCCAAATACGTATCTACTCGCCTCATTTTCTGAAAAAAAGTTACATCACAGTATTTTGCTATTTACATCATTCTCTATGTAAATACTGTCCACAGCTAAGCCATGTAGTGTACTATGGTCATATTTCCTTTGTTTAAACAACAGTTTCTTTTCCCCTAGCATTTAATAATTGTGTTTAATCTTTTCACATGCTTATTTTCCTGTGTATTTTTACTAGTTCATCCTAAACTACCTGAGAAAAATATAAATCCCGCCGAGGTGTGCAAATCAATTTAGTTTCCTGTTTTTCTGCTATATACCAGTGTCCTGGGAATTCTCTTCATCTTCCTCCTGTGTTGGATGCCTTTTTTACTAGATGTCATGTTTTCCTCTATCTTGGTTTACTCTCTCATTTTGGAGAAGCAAATTCTGTGCAAGGGTGATGAAAATGTTGAGACCTTTCGTACTGAAAATGTCTCTATCCACCCTCTCATTTGTTGTTGGTTTTTCGTGTTTGGGCCCTTTCCTCCAGTGTGTAGGAGTCAATGACCGCTCATAACAAGAGTGAGGCTCTGACAGGTTGAGTAGATGCTCTCTGTGGGTAGAAGGGATTAGGTACGGTGTGGGCTTCCGTGCTGTGCAATTAATAGGGCCGGCACCAGGAATCCCCAACAGTCTGCATCTGTTGGTCTTTTTCCTTGAGTTGGGCAGCTTCCCCCATGGCAGGGTCCTCCAGGCCAGGCTCCTGTCCCGACGAGGTATGAGTCTGCCAGCATTGTGGCAGCTGAGTGAGGGCAGGGCTCTGGGGCTCTTGTTTAGTATAAAGACTTTGACTTAGTCCCTTCCTAGCTTCAGAACACCACCTCCCTCCTACCCTTCACTCTATCTTGGAGTCAACAACTACAAAGAGAAAACCTCAGCCTTCAGTCTTCTTATGAGAGTGAGGAGACATTAGGTGCCTGGTAAGAGAGAAAACTCTTACTCAGACTTTCAACCAATCTTCCTGGAGGTTTGCAGGGAGAACAGTGGGGGAAACACCCAGCCAACCCCTCTGCACAGAGGTTTTTAAAACTCTTACAGAGCAATGTGAACTTGAACAAGTTTCTTAATTTCTCTGGGCTTTGGTTTCTTAATCTGTAAAATAAAAACAAAGGGCTTTGGGGTGAAGGTTAAGTGGGATTAATAAATAGGAAGTGCCTTGCAGAGTCTGCCCAGGATGGAGAGAGTCTGCCCAGCGTGGAGAGGGCACTCAGTTGCTGGCAGTACAGTGGTCGTGGCAGCCGTAGTTGGCAGTCTCCTTAACCTGTTTCAGTGGACAGAAAGAACTCCACTCCCACAATCCAGGGTTTTCTACACTCTCTCAAAAGAAAGCCACCCTACTTGTGTTCTGCCAAAATGTTTCTAGAATTTTCGGGGTACCACAATCTTTGCAACTTGCCTTCCACCCCACCCTTTCTCTCAGTGCCCAACCACGCCCTTACTGTCACCTCCTCTTTTCTGGCTCCCAACCAAATGGACTTACCTGTAGGACTAACAATTGCAGCGAAGTTAGCCTGAACCCAGATCTCAAAAGGAAAATTGATCCCTCCTTCTCCCCTGTTCTACACATAATCCCTCCACCCACTAAGACAGTGCCCCAGGTCCTCCTCCTACTCTTCCTGTCTTTCCTAACTCCCTGGCAAGAGAGAAGCAAAGGGAACCGTTTTGCCATCAGTGTGCTACAGACTCCCAGGGTAGAACGAAATTCCCTTCCCCCTACTTCTCACCAGCTCTCCTTGCCCCAGTCGTTCTTCCTACCTTTCTCCCACTGCTCTTGTTTGGGACCTTGACTCTGCTTGGTTAGTGGGCAGCCTTCCTTTTCACAGTCGATGTCTCTCCACGAAATTCTAAGGATACTTTTTCCAGCTCCTCTGGGGTCTCCAGTAGCTTTGTTAATTGGCTACATCTCAGGGGATTGAAGAGTGAAGAGGAGCTGGAGAAGCTGGAAACGTTGGGGTCATCTTAAAATTAAGACTGTAGAATGCCTAGTGGGCCAGAGACCTGGTACAGAATCTGATGAGAAGCAGCATCCACTGGGCTCAGCATTGTTTCCCGGCCTGATATTTTAGGTTGCAAGATCCCATTAGGGATTTTTCCTGCTGTACTCCTTTAGACTCAATCACTGAAGATACAACTGATGAAAATTTTGAAGTATATCTTATTAACAAAAGTCATGGTCAAATCAATCTTGGGACCCCCCCCCCCGGGTTGGGGTTGGTGTAAATAGATGGTCATTTGGAGACGACACGTGAATGAAGGTGGACACAAGGACATAGGAACAGCCTCACCTGATAATCCCTTACACTCTTGTTTCCTTTTTCAACTGCGTACATACAGGAAAGCTGCACTTTTTTTTCTGTAGATGACCTTTCCTGAGTGCAGACTTTAGTCTGTCCTTAAAATTCTCCCCAGCAAAGTAATACAGCAAAGGGTTGAAGCAGCTGTTGGCCGCTGCCAAAGCTAATGAGATGACCACGGCTTTATGTAGCTTGTCTTTGCATTTACCCGCTTTCCACATGATCAAGTGGAGGGTTCTCAGTATGTGATAGGGCAAGAAACACAGGAGGAAGATGATCAAGGCAATGATGATGGTAGTCAGTGCCTTCCTGTGAGAAAGCCGCAGCCCCGATTCTGGGACCTCCACCTTTAACAAAGTTCGAATGATCAGCAGGTAACAGATGCTGAGGATGCAGAGCGGCAGCAGAAAGCCCACCACCAGGGCAATGTAGTTCATGGTCTTCAGTTTCATAACCTTGTTAGAATTCAGCTCTAAGCACGATGTGACGTTGCCTTTCAGCTCAGAGCCATTGTTCAGGAGTATGGTGGAGATAGCCATGATAAAGAGCCAAATGACCCCACACAGAATCCAGGCACTCCTGATGCTGGTGGCATGAAGGAGCCGGAAGGGGTGAACAGTTGCCAGGAAACGCACAACACTCAACACAGTCAGGAAATAAATGCTGCTGTACATGTTGACGTAAATAGAATAAGACATAATCCTGCAGGTCAGGTCCCCAAATATCCAGTTGGAGCCTCTGAGGTAATAGTCAACCCTGAAGGGCAGAGTGCTTGTGAACAAGAGATCTGAGATGGCCAGATTAAGCATGAAAACATTCACAGATGTGGGCTTCTTATAAGGCTGCAGGAAAACATATATGGAAAAGCCATTTCCCAAGGCTCCCCAGATAAATATTATCAAATATACAATGGGGTAAAATTCTCTCTTGAAGTTTTCAATTGTGCAGTTCCTGTTACTATGGTGATTGCTGGAGGTGCCATTGGGTTCCACGTCTGACAGGGAGATGGGTGGCGATAAGGACACAAGCTTTTTCTCCATGCTGAATTGAAAAGAAACAGACACAAAAAATTACCTCCTGCTCACTACTTACATTCTTCCACGTTTTAATGAAACAGAGAGAAATATTAGCTTTTCTTTAAAACTTGAGTCAAAAAATATTGCCTACATTTTACTATATGTTTATACATTTAGTATATGCCTGTACTTTTACTATATATCTTTACTATATGCTCCATTACATTTCATGATAAATCTCTAGAATGCAGAATAAACATTAATTTATTTGGTTGAAGCTGAAGTCTCAAAATGAGGGAACTTTTGCCTAGTGCCCATGTTGGCATGAGTGCCCTGTGACACTGCAGTCTGAATCTACCAGACAGCAGATTTCTCATCAGAATCTGTAGAAGACAGAAGGAAGTGGCACAGGTTTGAAGTGCTCAAAGAAAAGACCTGCCAAAAGTATCCTTCAGGTATCAAGACAGTCTCAGATGATGGAAAACTAAGAACATTTGTTGCCAGCAGACCCACCCTAAAAGAATCACTGAAAGAATTTCTCTGCAGAAAGGAATCAATAAAAGAAGGAACTTTGGATCAGAAAGAAAGAACATGATAAGCAAACATATGGGTAACTACAATCGGTTTTTCTTCTCTTTTGAGTCTGAGTTTTATATGATGTTTAAAACAAAAACTATAACACTGATGTAATTCTAAATGGATGTAAAGAAATTTTAAGATAATTATATTATAAGTGGGGAAGGGTAAAGAACATAAAGGAGGTAAAGTTTCCACACACTTCATCTGAAGTGGTAAAATGATGATGGTCTATTGGCATCATGGCCAATAGACCATGGTAAGTGAGGCATGTGTAATGTAACACCTAGAGCAGCCACTAAAAAGCTATATAAAGACATACACTCAAACACACTAGAAGTAAATCAAAATGGAATTCTAAGAAGTATTCAGATAACCAACAGGTGGCAGGAAAAAGATAACAGAAAATGCAAGCAAACAAACAAAATGGCAGACATCCCTAACAAACCAATCATTACATTAAATGTAAACAGCCTAAATACACCAATTAAAAGACAGACTGGCAGACTGGAAAATAAAAAATATATGACCCAATTATATGCTGTCTATAAGAAATTTACTATTATCAGAAAGACAACAAATAATAAATACTAGCATGTGGATGTGGAGAAAAGGTTGGAATCCTCATACACTGTTGGTGGGAGTATAAATTGGTGCAGCCACTATGGAAAAGAGGATGGCAGTTCCTCAAAAAATCAAGAATAAAACTACCATATGACCCAGCAATTCCACTCCTGGGTATTTATCTGAAGAAAACGAAAACACTAATTAGAAAAGATATGTACACCCTGATGTTCACTGCAGCATTATTTACAATAGCCAAGATATGGAAGCAACCTAAATGCACATCAGAAGATGACTGGATAAAGAAGAGATAGTGTGTACGTATCTATTTATCTTTATCTATATACACTGATGCTCTTGTCGGTCCACCCAACCTAAAACCACACGTCCTCCAGGTGCAACACCTGTTTCCTTCAGCTTTTCTTACTGTAAGGTGAACTTGCGTGCTTATCTCTACGACTGGCACAGTTTCACCAGGGACAGTTTGTAATTGCAGTCATGATTGTTTACTTGAGAAGCACTTTAGAACAAAAAGTGAGGAAACTTTCCAGAACAGATTGTTTGGCTAAAAGAGAGGCTCTTTTGTTTAATGTTTGGAGATAGCCCCCTTCTTTGCTTCCATACTCTGAGGATTAATAAATGCTGGCTTTTTAATCAGCGTTATTGGTAAAACTGCCAAAGACTTAAACCAATTTTCACATCACTCTTTTTTGTGTGTATATTTCAAAGTCCCTTTTACTATATATATAAACTCACAGGGAACATAATTATCTTTTTCAGTTAATGTCATATTCATCTGATACAGGCTCCCTTTTTGTTTTTTCGATTTCTCTTTCTCTTTTTTCCTCTCATAGGAAGTTAATAATTACCTGATCAAAAGAGTTCTTCACCTTTTATGTGCACACTCTCAGAACATCTGGTTCAGGCAGACAGTCCAAATGTCTGAAATAAAGAAAGAAAATGTTATTAAGATGTGTTTTGTTTTATGGACACTTAAAGTATATTTACATAATAGCTTTTATAATTACAGTTATGAGAAAAGAAAAAAGGGCATTATCTTCAAGTTAAAAAAAGATAATGTTTTTGGCATGATTCAGAGTCTTTAAATAAGTGGTTTAATGTACAAACTAGCGTCAGCACAATATTTTGGTTTATACAAGGCCAGCATTCAATTTTTTTGATTAAACTGAATTTCCTATATTGGTTTTACGAGTTAAGCAAGAGTCCATTATTATCTTCAAGTTAAAAAAAGATAATGTTTTTGGCATGATTCAGAGTCTTTAAATAAGTGGTTTAACGTACAAACTAGCGTCAGCACAATATTTTGGTTTATACAAGGCCAGCATTCAATTTTTTTTTTTGATTAAACTGAATTTCCTATATTGGTTTTACGAGTTAAGCAAGAGTCCATTATTTCTGTAACTTGTTTAAAATTTATAATTATACACATAAAATTATATTCAACTAAAACGAGTGATAATAATGAATGCCTTTTTAAAGATAAATTTTATGAAATTCTTACATTGCTACAAATCATAGGATTTAATTAGTTGCCTAAAATCATAATTTTCTGATCCATAACTAACTTTAAGACTTTATACAAGTGGTTAAGTTAATTAATACATAAACTTTAAATGCTGTAATAATTGCTGAATAAGAAATAGGTATAAAACACTAATCACTGAATATAATTTTTTACCTTATTTCATAGAATAGCAATAGATGAACAAAATATGCAAATGCCTGTGAATTAAATTATGTCTGTACATCAAAATTGTTTAAATTGTGTGAAATAAAGGCTAGCAGACAGAAAAAAATAATTTTTTATTTTCTCTTCTCTACATATTTATGCTTGAAGAAATCCAAGGTTACTTTGGTTAAAGATGATAATTAGTATAAATGGTTAATACAGAGAAATACAAATATGTAATATGATTTTCTGTTTATTAGGAAAGGTGAAACAGTTTATTCAGAGGGTAAATTTAATATGATACACATTTTATTTAATAGATTTAATTTTAAAGCTATAAACACTTTAAATTTATTTATTTGTATATTTACATATTTGTGAATGCCTAATTGCGTACATATAAGGGCATATTAATAAATACTGCAAAGTGTTATTTGAAAATGTACAAAAAGAGTAAGATTAGAATTTGGGTCTTTTTAATATAAAATAACTAGGTTATTTTGTGCTCATACTAGTAAAGATTTCTTTTTGTCAATAAAATATTCTGTTAAGTTTCAGTGCTTCTGACATACTGTTAAATCAATTTTTAAAAGATTTCTTGCCTTAAAAAGTTAATTTCTCAATAACTATTGTTAGTTGCTGAGTGTTTTTACACTGTTGCCTATAATTATTTCTTGACTCTAGATAGTTATGACTTATATCTTGGCTCCTCAAAAAACTGTTCTTGATTCTTCCTTTCCCAAATTCAAGCCCTCAATTCAGAATGAAATTGTTAATACGTTTTTGGGGACTAAATTGCCTTTGGGTTTACTACAATAGCCAGTAGGTAATACAAGATTTGCTCCTTCATCCTATGAAAGAACACTGGAAATAATTAGATTTCTAAAAATCCTTTGAATTTTAATTAATTTAAAACTATTATGCAAGCACTTCTGCTTACCAAACTTAGTAACAGTAAACTGATCAATTACAAAGAAAGTTGATTTTCCTAAGTTAATTATACTTAGGTAAATTGTGCTAACAAGTATCTTTCAAGGATTATATACTTTTTAAGTCAACAGAAGCAAGCTCACGTTAAAGTGCAAAGATTACCACCTGGGTATCAAAAGATTATTTTACAGGATTCTAGGTGCACAAACCCTTTTTCCTGTTTTGTGATGTAAAGTCTGAACAGCACGAGGGGTTCTGACCCAATTACATGGGAATCATCAGCGATCAGTTGTTCATTTCAGTCTTTCATTGGACCCAGTAGCCACGACATAGCCCTCCTGTTTAAGAGCTACAGCAGCTGCAGCAAGTCCTGCAGAAGCCTTACGTGAATTTAGTCAACTTTGCTGTTGGTTCTTAGTCCACTAAACTGAATAGTTTCGCTGCTATCTACTCTCTTTATTGACAGAAATAACTCGGGATTTTCAGCTGATCACCTAACCTCCTGTGCAGTTTTGCTGGTTTCCCTCTCAAACATCATCCATGGCTGTAACATTCTAAACCTAGCTATCCTCCTCCCCTCATCTGTGGAAAAAGAAGCCCATGATCGGTTACCTTGGTTAGAGAGAGGTAACCAGATTCTCCCTTGGATATCCCTGTTTTAATTTTGTCTTTTGGCTTGCTCGTACTTAAAGAGAAAAACTATAAACAACAAGGACCTACTTACAGCATAGGGAACTATATTCAGTATCTTGTAATAACCTGTAATGGGAAAGAATCTGAAAAAGAAAAAAAATATATATATATATGTATGTATATAACTGAATCACAACTGAAACTAACACAACATTGTAAATCAACTAATCAACTATACTTCAATAAAAATAAATAATTATAATGAAAACTACTAACTGCCAAGCAGGTTATGCTTTCACTGACTTGAATTTACTCTTGAAATATAAGCTTCACCCCTAAATGAAACAAGTCCAGATGGCTAAATTAATTGTCTTTACCCAGACATGCTGGATGATAAAATATAAGAGAATTTCAAATATTTATATTGACGTAAGGTATATGATCTTAGATTCATTCGTGAATTCAAAATGCTTTAGAAATGGAGAGATTTCCTGATACTACAAAAACCACTTTAAAATAGACAGTGAGTTAAAGAAACATGAGATGTTTTGTTATTACCTACAGAGAGAGCCATAATAAAAAGTTAAAAAAAAAGACAAATGAACTTATATATAAAACAGGAACAGACTCATAGACATAGAATACAGACTTATGGTTGCCAGAGGGGGAGTGGGGTGGGAAGGGACAGACTGGGAGTTCAAGATTTGTAGATACTGACAGGTATATATAAAATAGATCAACAAGTTTATACTGTATAGCACAGGGAAATATATTCAATATCTTGTAGTAGCTCACGGTGAAAAAGAATATGAAAATGAATATATATATATTCGTGTATGACTGAAGAATTGTGCTGTACACAAGAAATTGACACAACAGTGTAAACTGACCATAACTGAATTTAAAAAAAAGTATTAAGAATGACTATTAAATAGTTTAGCAAAACTGCTTCATGATATGACCTACAATAGCAGAGAAAAAATGGCAATGATATTAAACAAACAAGAGTGGGATAAGTTTAAGGCCGTTGTTAAGGATATTCCAATGCATGCCCTCTCCACCATCAACACAATCCTAGTGAGACGGCAAAGGTAGCATATGGACAACCAGACCCTCCAGGCTTCTTTGAACATCTCCAAAGGGTCTATGGGTGTGTTCTGGTTATTGTTTATTCTCAGAGTGTATTAGGGCTTTTCCTAGCTCTGGTTGTAATGCTTAAAATTTTTTTTTAAACCTGTTTATGTTTGTAATCCCAACTTGTCTCCAGTAAAAGAGCACGTTTCCCTGAAACAATGATTTAAAAACTGTAAAACTTTACCTTTTACTTAGAAACATAATGTTTACTTAGAAATATCCTTATCCACAAACATCAGAGAAGGTAACAAGAACTAGTGGAATTCTAAAGCCCTCAAACTTCTAATGGCCAAAATATTTCCATTGGCTTCGAAGGTAGGCAGGACGATCAGGCTCCTCTAAGACCCACTCATTATTTCCTTCTGAGAAGTAACAGGATACCGCATGCATTTGGGAATTACTTCCAATCCTTGATCTTATCCTATTGCAATCTGTGGGAATGACTGTGGGAAACGTGATGACTGTGGGAAAGTTGCATTTCAAAATATCTTCTAGAGCAGCTTCTAACGCCGGAAACTTAGATATTTGGTCTTCTGGAAAAGACATCAAGGAAAAACTTCTCTTGAACTTCCATGGAGAGGACCTTGTTGCCACTACTAAGAACTGTCCCGGCATTGAGATGCCAACATTTTAATCTTTGGATTCATGTTTTCCAACTAAAAAGACGTACGTAACTTCCCTGCAGCCACTGAGAGTTCATTCCTTGGGGAGACATCAAACTGAAGATTTTGAGAAATTCTCCAGAAGCTGTCTCTTGAAGAAGTGGCTGGCTTCTGCCCAGAACAGCAGAAGAAAGTACTGACCACAGAAGGGGGCAGTTTCCACACACGACGGAACACAATGAATTCTGATTTTTACCACTTTTTTTTCTTTCCTTTTACTATTAACCTTGTCTATCATTGTACTTTTGCCCCCTCTAGTAACTAATATAACCTTCCTGATCTTCATCCCGTAAGGTCTCTGCTACTTAAGGAAAAACAAAATTCTCTGGTCTGTTTTTCTCAGATCATAGCTACTGTTCTGAATTTAACTGATTTCTGACAACATTTAATGACTTAAAAAAAAAAACCTTCTACACATCCCTTCTATATTTACATTGCCCTTGCATAATTAACCCCAAACTTCAGTCTTATAAAAATTGTACGCTGGTCGCCCCCACATCAACATGCTTCTGCTCAAGTCCTGACAACCGTATCAGCCAACCCCACGCCTTCAGGAGTGGGAGCAGAGATGACGCCCACCCTGGATAAAGACTGTTTATTTTCTTCAGGGACACTGCAGCCTGCTTTACAGGACCTGTCTGACTCCGCGGGAGGAATCCATCCACCACAAGTGACTCTCCACCAACAGGCGCTTGAATAGAGAAAGAGGCTCATTTTGGTTGTGATAACTGATTCTTAAATTTCCAATACTACTAAAACCGTGTTTGCCCCGCTAGACCACTTCCTCTTACAGGGACATCGGGCTTACACTCAGCTGCCAAGCCTTAACCTTCCCTGCGTGTTCAGGATAATCGTTAGGGAATTTCAGATGTTTGAAGCTACCACCCCTCCGGTGAATCACGTTTCCCTAGAAAGAATACACAGAAAACTCCACTTGCGAGAACTCCCAGAGAGAGATGGCTGACTCCCTCACGTGCATGCTGTACTGGCAGCAGCCACCAGAGCTGGGATAACACAACTGGGAAGGATCGTCCAGAGCTTGTCTCGACCCTGGGGCCTTAGTTCTGATTTCGTGGATAACAGTTCTCTCCTTTTGACCTGTCTCACCAGTAAGTCTGAGGTTTCTAGCCTGGGATACAGGGAGAATGATGAGACCATTAGCAGGGCTTAGAGCTCAGGAGACAGGTCAAGGCTGCAAATACAGTTCAGAGGAACAGTCACATGGAGGCTGGAAGTCTGTAAGCCTGACTTGGGAAAGGGAATATAGCAAAAAGAGAAGCTTGGAGATTTTGTCTTAGCTCAGCTTTTGAGAGAAATAATCTATTGGTTGGCAGGGCCAGGACAGAAGGATCAAACCCCAAATCAGGTAGTACAGAGCTGAAATGCTAGAGGCAATACAGGCAGAACGCATAGACCAAATCCACGATGCAAACCTGGAGCTGGATTAGACGTCACAATTATGTGTCAGCGCTGGATGGGCAGAGCACTAGAACCAGGGTTAACCCCCAGAGCCCAGAGGACAAGGGGACAGGGAAAGGGAGCTAAGACTGATATGTGACCAGCCAGAATTCTCACAGATGCATTCCATTACAAATGACCTTTTTTGAAAAGGACAGAGTCCTATCCATATGTCCCTGACTTTGGAGCCAGGATTCTGATAGAATCTTAGAAAAACTTATCTAAGGAAAGGGTCCAAAAAGGTAGAAGTAGATTTGAAGGCAATCAAGTCCTTAAATGTTTGACCAGGAAGACCTTTAAATCACTTCTCCCATCTCAAGACCAACGGGGCTTGTGAATTGCAATGGGAAGGGCGGCCTGGGACCCCATCCTGCTTTCCTCCCTCACTTCCCTCACAAGAGGTGGGTGGTGGGGAAGAGGGTGGCAAGATTGCAACGGCCTCATCAGCTGCAGATGCTGGGCAAAGTCCCTTATCATAGACAGAGCATGGTATCCAGCAGGTATGACCACAGACAGGAAAAGATGGTAATAGTGTGGAGGGACCAACAACAGACCCTAGCAATGGGGACTTCCTGAGCAATGAGGGAGGAAGGCACAACTCATGGGGAAGGTCAGTCTGCAGGCAGCACGTCCCTTGCACTGCCAGGCCATGAGGGGAAGAGGACTTCGGATCTGAGAGGCGGCCTGGCCATCGCAGGCAGGCCTTGAGTCCCGGAGAAGCCGAGTGCTGGCCAGAGCCTTGGGCACAGAGACTCAGGGCAGGGATGCCAAGATAGGGAAGGTGGGGACCAAATCTCAGAAACAAGGGAGATGCCCAATTTTAGAATCGAGGTACCAGATCAGGATCAGATCAACCCCGGGGGAGCACTGAGTCCCAGAGTTGCTTCAGTTCCTCTGCCTCTGACTGGGACTGGTTCTGGGCCCCGTAGGGGCTGGAGGCAGGGCGGGAGTGGGAGCGGCTGATGGCTGTCAAGCAGCCCCAGTTGCAGGGAGGGGACATCTACAGAAGCTGGGGCTGTGATTCCAAGAGCATCTTCATCCTTGGAAAGCTAAAGAAAGAAAATACACAAACACCCTGCCGAGAGGCCTCATTTAGCTAACAGGCCCAGGTTAAAAGCAGGGCCAGCGCAGATCCAAAATTCCATTTAGTGCTTCATTTTCTCTTGAGAAACCTTTAAAACACTTTGTTCTTTTCTGCCCGTAAACAATACATTTGACTACACTACACTGAAATACTTCACTAGACTGATGGGGAAAAAAGGAAAAAGGAATCAGCTGCTAGATGTGGTTGTCAAAATCAGCCAGATCGATTAACTATGTGATGGGAAGCTGAGACATATGCGAAGAGGTAAATTCAAGGGAAATTAGGAAATAAATTGACAGCACAATTTGCACAGCCTTAGAGGGACAGCAGAGGGTGAGCGTGTGCACAGCTTCCTGGACTGAAAGGGGCCCCGAAACAAAGAAAGAGTTGAGGCTTTGTCTCCTGCAGCTTTACTGGTAATAAAATCACACAGAATAATCAGCAGCAGCAGATGGAGATTCCATATTGCAGTTATGAAGAAAAGCAAACATGCTGCGTGACCAGTTAAAATCTGATGAAGGTGAACAGCTTACACTGATGCTTAGCTTGTTTTCACGGTCATTGCAAAGCTGCAATGGTCCAAAACCTCACAGATTTTATTTTTACTTATACCTAGAAAAAATTTTTTTGACGCATTCCCAGTAGGGGACCTTGTGGCAAGTCCCACCCCCACCGTTGGCACAGACTGGGAGCCCGCAGGTGCACTCACCTTCAGTTCCTGGGTACAAGCCTGTGACCTGCCTGCAGAACCCGAAGACTGAGGCCCTAAGACACACTGACACAAACACATCTGGAACAGCAGCAGGCTGTGAGCAGTTAGACCACCGGCTGCCGTGACACTGTGGTACGCTGCTCCAGACCAGAGAAGCTGGAGAATAAAGGTTGGAGGACTTGGCATCATCTTTACAGGAATTAATGATGGGATTTTGTGCAGAACAGCCCTGAGGGAGCCGGCAGTGGCCCCTAACCCATCAGCACATGATCAGAAGGGAAACTC